ACATGCCACATGGCGGTAGTCTCGTGGGCCAGGTCTAAATATTTTATTAATTTGTCCTTTTCTGCCTTCACGAGGTTCTCGTCATGAGGAATGGTGACATCAACCAACACTGCTCGACGCGCAGATCGATCTATTATCACAATATCAGGTTTATTGGCAACAATATACCTATCCGTGATAATAGATCGGTCCCAGTAGAGCGTAACATGACCATTATCAAGAACTGGTTGAGGTTGGTATTGGTAATAAGGTACAGCAGAATCAAGAAAACCATATTTCAGAGCAAGTTGTTGATGGATAATCCTAGCCACTTGGTTATGTCTATGCAAGTACTCGCCGTTAGCAAACCGAGAACAGCCAGAAACAATATGTCTAATAGACTCTCCCGGACGGTGGCATGCCCGACAAATGTCGACCGTCCCATCCTTTAGTATATATTTCCGGTAGTTGTTCGTCATGATAACTTCGTCCATAATTGCAAAGATAAAACCTTCAGTTTCCCCAAAGAGGTTACTGAATCGTAACCAGGCCACGGAAGCTAATTGGTCTACATCAGGCCCTGTGAGAGCCCGGTAGAACCTACCGTGTAACTCCTTGCTCCTCCATACAGTTATGCGATCTGAAATACTCTCTACCTTCAGCCTCTTCCAATTCCCGTTAGCTAAGGATAGCGGAGTTAGCTATTATTATTATTATTATGTACTATCAAAATATGTGATATAATTTCGTGGGTAACACAACGATAGCGCGATTCAGCTTTTGCGTCAAGCTCCATCTATCAGCGACAAACGGAATTGTAAAATAGAAAATTATATCACATTACAATGCGTTGGGCGTGCCATTTTCTATCGCTTAGTCTTAGGGTTTGGAGTGGCATTAAAAATAAACTAGCTAAACCGTTGATTCTGGGCGAATGAGAGTTAGAACTAGCATCCAAAGGCGTGTCTCTATCCCATGTAGCGCCCTCTAGTGAGTGCGCGGTCAAAATGGAATACTCACAATGTAGCAGATTCATTGAAAGTTAGCCCACTGAGCTTCTCGCCGGATCTTATTTTATTGTTGTTTTAATATTAAATTATTATTGTCGATTTATAATTGCATAAGTTGATAAAAAATGCTATGCAACTGCTTTACCGCGGCAGCAGCGTTGCCAACTCTACCAACTTTTCGGTAGATCTACCAACTTTTAGTGTCGTAATCAAACCTACCACTTTATCTACCAACTTTTGAAGTTTTCAAAAAGTTCAAATCAAACCTCCATGAAAATAATATTGAACTCTATATCTAACGCGATTCAATTAACAAATAACTGATTGTAATTTTTAAAACGTTTCAATTGAACACTATAAAAATGAGTGAAAGTGAAAGTGAAAACGAAGAAAATTCACCTCCTCGAAAATTAAAAAGATGCATTACAATCAAAAATATTCTCAACTATGGGAAAAAGAAGAATATTAGCGGCCTGTAATTCTGTTTTATCATTGGATTTCTAATAAAAATAGTTAAAAATTCAAATATGTCTTATCCAATCGAAAAGTAAATTAAGGATGCCAGATTCTTATTGGAGGGTCTCTAAAAGACTTGAAAAGTATGGGTGGTAGATCTACCAACTTTTCATAGTAGGGTTTGTTGAAAACTACCAACTTGTAGAACCCTATCTCCTCCCGCCTTGGCGAATTTCGAGTTGGCAACGCTGCGCGGCAGTCTTCGAGTGCCACATGTATTTTTTTATTGCTTCGATGGGTCAAGAAGCGCCCTGTCTGAGGCTAAGCGGTTACCGGACCCAAAAACACTACAAAATAAATAAAACTGCCTCACTTGAGACATAGGACTAAATCCCAATTCCAACGCCCGTCTTAGATAAAGATAATATAAATTTGATAAAGGTCTAAAAAGATAAGGATAATAATAATGTCGGGGATAAAAAATTAAAAAATTAAAAGAGAAATTGTAAGCTTAGCTGACAGTTATTCAAAAAGTGAGAAAATGGGACATTGAATTAACGCTTTCTTTCTTTCTTTCTTTCTTTCTTTACTTGGCAACAAATTTGGCCGAAAGTTAACTGTAGAACTGATCATAGAAGCAAAGAACTACATTTCGAGAATACAATGGATTACATTGTTAAAAATCGTCCTGCAAAGGTGTACCGTACCATATTTTGTAATCGTTTAGTTTTATTTTATATTAGTATTGGAATTCATATTTGGTATTTTCTCTCTCTTAAGTCCATACAATTTGTCAAAAAACCTAACACAGATACTTTCGTATAATTCGGTATGATGTACTACACACTTAGTATAGGTATCTAATGGTCGATTTTAGGACAAGATGAATAATGTTTAAACAGTTTTTGAGATCAATATTGATCAAACCAGCGATCCGTATCATTAGCAGTCTCTTCAAACACGTCAATGTTGGATCTAATAACTATCAATCATAAATTCTTTCCTTCCCTATGGTATAAGCCTACTGCGAATATTCTGTGATGACAACAACGTTTTTGTTGGAAATAATTCCTAATAATACGACTATTCCATCCAAAATTTTTAGAATTAAGTCTGGTGTAAAAAAATATAAGTTAATAATAATATTAAACTAAATTAAATAAAAACACGTGCACCACAAGAATGCAAGAAAATTTTTATTATTATTATTACTCCATAACAAATAAATTTTTCCTCGCCATAATATACGTAGTTTTTAAAAGTCCTTTATTGGCGCGGTGTAGACAACCCAGACTGGAGACACGATCCTATGCTTAATGCCGGCCACTGTACCGTACAATGTACGAATATTTGCGCGCATATGAAGGGTCGTCAAACATTCGCAAACTTAGCGGCTGTGCAAATGGGTTCGGTACTCAATTTGCGAACCCGTTTGCGCTTCCTCCTACACTTGTTTACGAATGTCTCATGAATTTCTCCTCCTTTTTAATTCGTCAATAGAACATTGAAGAGAAAAAGAGTTTTGAATTCTTTCCCAGACATCATTAACAGCCATGCTGTTTTTATGGGATTTCTTTTGATGAAGATACGCTACACAGTAGACGTCAAGATCTATGAAAATAGCGAAACGTCCGTTGCCTTCGCAATCCTGGGCGCAGCTGGTCACACGAATGTATGGGAGACTACGCGAAGGATCGCGGTTCGCGCGCTTTGATGTCTGTTAAAAAACCGACACAGCTTGGAAAACCACATATGCAGCGAAAACATAATCATTCATTTGCAAATGTCGTCCTACACTTGCGGGTTTGCGTATTCGTGCGAATGTGAGTGACCAGTATAACAGCTGAAACTCCGTGTGTGTAGTCTGATATATTAGTAGCGATGTGATTTTGTATAATTTGTACACTGCTTTTGCAGTAGGAATATCCTTTGTATATACATACAAACAAAATTATATCTCATATTTTTTCTATTGAATCAATGAGTTACGTAGCCCAAGTTAAGTATTTTAAATATATTTTAACAATTGTAACTGGCTGTTCTGTATTACTTCACAATTCTTACGTGAAATGTTTGTCCTCACAAATAAGAATAATAAAACTATTTTGTTGTAAGTATGTTGAATTGAAATATTACAGAGTGAAGATTCTATTGGATATTTTCAGATTAGATAGGTAGTTTATTAACAAGTTCTCGAGTACCTATTAATAATTATCTATCGTCTATCCATATAATGAAAGAGTAAAATATTATTTCTACTTATAAATAAACTGGAGCGTAAAAAAAGAATTACGGTATTTTTTGTTTGATATTTGGATTAGTTTGTTTGTGTATTATGAGTTTGTAGTGTACTCTTTGGATTTCTACCGTTCCAGTTTAAAAAATGGGACAACCATTATACAACATTATCAAGACTTCGACCAAATGTGCAAAATAATTTGCGTAATTACTAGTGGTAGGGCGGATTATATCTATGGGGTTTGGTAACCACAGGTAGGCGTGAGCCACCACCCATCTAAGCAATAAAAGTGATTATTTTGTATGATTTTTGTACATATTAGATATCTAAATCAGTAATCATTAGTTCTTCTTCTTTCTGGACGTTCCCTCAATGCTGAGGATCGTGACTGTATGTCAATCTTCTCCACTCGGTCCGGTTCTGCGCCATATGTACCGCTCCCCATATCTGGCCTCCAGTCACCTCCTTGAGTTGGTCAACCCATCTAGCTGGCGCTCTTCCTCTAGCGCACTTCTCCTCCATTTGTCCGAGAATTGTGAGTTTCTCCAGGCTGTGCAATAAGGATCGCATTATGTGCCCAAAGAAACTCCGGATCCTTTCCTGGCACATAGTCAGCAGGCGCTTGGTGACCTTCAGCTCTTCGAGGATGGAGACATTGGTTCTCACAGCTGTCCAAGGAATGCGTAGCAGCTTTCTCCAGCAATACATTTCAAACGACTCAATCTTTTTGCGTTACAACAACAGATAGACACTGCATTTTACAAAGTTGCCATAGCTTTATTCTCATAACAACATTTTTATAAACGTATACCATTCCGAGTCAGTCGACAACGTGTGACCTCATTATCCCAAAGATATAAACACGACAATGTAAGACATTTAAATATGCTAATTTAATATTTACGCAGAATTTCGCGTTGTTTAACTGTAACATAACTTTTGATGTTTAAATGCCTATATTTTAACTAACTACATTTACTTTGTTATACCTACCATTTTCAAATATATAAAAAAATACTATGTCCTTATTCATCTTACAGCACATATGATATAAAGTTCATTGAGCTGATTGCAAATTACATAACCAAACACCTAGATGTATTTTTGTCATAAGTGCCCATCATTCGTATTGCATCACTAAGGAGAAATCTCATACAAAGAACAGGCCTATGCTTATTGATAACTTTTTAACTTCACTATACAGTTAATAAAAAAATGTGCTGCATCGCCTCCAAAATCATTGTAATAGGGGCCTTCACTCAACTGAAGAAATAAAAAAGGTACACAAAAAGTGTTTTCATAAAAAAAATAACCAATTACTTTAAATAAATTACTTATTAGAAACACTAGAGAGAACTTCATTTAATCATAAAAATTAAATACATTCACAGAGCCATATAATCTCCGCAAAAGTATGTATATTCCTGCTCTCTTCCCAACACTTCAGATCTTAGCGCTTCTGTCACTCCCTGTGTACTAATACATAAATTGCAAGACAAGCCAGCACAGCAAACTGAAAAATAATGAAATTGGAAGTCAAAATATTTTATATGAATTTTTATTGCCATTGAAGAAAGTGCCTGTCTGATGGTGAGTATTGGTCTCTTATCAAATTAAGCAATGCCAGGGTCACACCACAACTTAGCATAGAGGACTGCTCAAGCTACATTAGTAGAGAAGTATGAGAAGACATGGTACTTGGGAAACAGTGGAGGCAGTTGGTCCCAGCAATAGACTGCAATTTGGCTGGGCCATAACATAGTCTCTAAGTGGTTCCAGGTGATAGGGTGGATTCTGCTCCTCTACCATAACCTTATGTGGCATAATTTATAGGGATTTAAAGCATAACAGTCATGATGTACTCATATTTAAGAAATGTGATTGTATGGATTTTCAAGTCTCGCTCTCAATTTTTCTAAAGAAATATCTACTAGTGGGAGTTAATTAATGACTTTCATAATATACAGGTGATAATGTGTTATAAAAATCAAACATGCAAAATTTAAATGCAATTATTGGTATTGGTGTTATCATACATGCTGTTAATAGAACAATTCAAATTTAAACATGTTGATAATTAAACTATATTGTCCAACAATAGCTCTGTTATACAACTGAAGTCAATTTATGATTGGTGTTTGTGAAAAGTGCAGGAAAACATTTGCAGCTAAAAATTTGTTTCCATAACATCTTTAGAAACATACATTTGAGTCGTCTATTATCAAAGGTGGCAATCTGTGCATTTGGACAAAATTTTTTTATTGATATGTCAATACAGATTGATTTGAATATAATCGTCTCCTTCAAAGAAAACGCTTCAAAACCTGCATTAAATAAAGGTTAATAGTTAACCTGTTATTTATCTAAGATGTCATTCCGAAGAGTTTTGTGACTGCCAATGGAATACAAAGTGAATAATTCGTTTTTCTGATTTATCAATCATTGTTCAAAAGTCAGATTGCCGGCTTTGATAATAGTCGACTCATTTATAGCATTGCTATTATTTGATTGACCTGTCAAGTAAATTTAATGATGATTAACAATGATTATTTTTGTTTACTAAAGATCAAAGTTTGCCTGGATCAGTGTTTATTTAATTAATGTTTCTTTGATTGATGATATTTCCACATACCTTAAACTTAGGATATTCATTCATATATATGGTGACCATTCCAACATATGGCAAAAATCCTCTTGCACGGCCAACCACATCTTTTTTAGTGAGCCACAGTTGGCCCTGGGCATACAAGCCTCTGTCATCAACACTATTATTGTCACCTTTGGTTAAGAACTTTACTGTGCCATTGTTCCTGATGATTAAAATAAATTGTTACATATTTTTCAAGATTAAAATTTAAAAAAAATGTTACATTATCTAGTAAAACTTGTTTGTGCCAAATTAAAAAACATAAACAAATAATTATATGGAAAAGATATGGACTTGAATGTTGTAATCAGTTGTTATCACTGTCAACTTATTACAACTTATTTTTTATAGCAATTAGTTTTAGATTTGGATTCCCGTTTGTCCAATACTGTTTAGGCTTTGTTCTGTTAATGTGGGCAATATGCAGATTGCAGTGCCTTAGAGCTATGGTAAACATTTACTACAAATTTGCAATGTGAGCACATCAACAACCTTTTAAAGGTTGTTTCGGGTAAATACTTAGTATTTCATTGGATAATTAATCATTCTTACTTTTCATGTAGTTTCAATACTCTGTGAACAATCGGGATATCCCGGCCCTCTACTTTGAAGACAACAATTTCTCCAACGCGGACAGGCTCCTCAGGGTAATTGGTTAAAAACAGCAAGTCTCCTCTGTGAAAAGCGGGCTCCATACTGCCTGACAGTACTACTACTATTGGGCTTTCACTTCCTGTTACTACCATCAAACCTTTCCATATCATCAAGGCAGAAGACACTATCATACCAAAGCTTAACACTTGGTACATGAACTGAAAATTAGGAAAAAACTCATGAACTGGTTGAATGTTAACGACATCCAAGTATGCGAAACCAATTTTTGTTACCTGCCGCTTGTTCATTCGCCGCACATCATCAAATAGACTTTCCAACATTGTTAATTTAATCAGTTATTTTTAAAATAGGGAAATAATGCAGTGCAGTGTTTGGTTATTGAAGTTTTCGCTGTTGCCGACAGTTGCCGTCACCACAATCACCACGTCAGTCAGGCAAGGCAGGACAAATAGGGTTGGCAGCAGGTAATGAGTAGTGACTAGCATCTACATACGTCGTTGTTTTGTTTTATCCAAAATATGAATAAGTAACATTACGATGCTAGTGATATATGTCAATTATATAAACATTGGTTTTTATTCATTTACCGAACATTTATTCACTATAATTTGTACCGTAAAATGGGGCGATTCGGGACAAATTCCAACTTTATGAGCAATTTTAAGGTAGTTGTTGATGTATATAATGCTATATCAGGATCAAAATGATTGAGTCTTGGGGGCATCTTTGTTGTCTAATTTAAAATTATGCAACTAGCATTCCAGTTTAAGCAAAAAATGCAAAAATAGGTGTAATCCCTATTTACCCGAAAATTGCGGTTAATTGGGACGAAATGAGAAATTTGCTAGGGTTGGCACTACTTTTATTTTTATATATAGTTTTAATTTATTTATTTATTTAGTTGCAACAACAAAGTGATCATCAATAAAAAAAATTGAAAAACTGACAAAGGTACATGGCAGACATCACCTCAATTATAGGTGCAATCGACAGTGCTGATATTTCTATCTGGGTTAAGAGATTAGGTGTGTCGGTTATTCCATGGATTAATCAGATGAATACCCCCACTCTGAACAAATATTAAATATTTTATTATGTATTACTTAGACATTTTTGTCCACCTTGACATTTCATTGATCTTGTTACATGTCTCTGCAAAATCGACTTACTTATTTTAAATTGCTTATCTATTTCAACTAAAGACTTATTTCCAATTTCGCTTCGAATAAACCAGATTTTTAC